AGGGAGGAGACAGGGGGACAGAAAAGCAGACACAGAAAGGCACATACTGGCAAATGAAAGAGACAGTGAGACACAGCCAGAGGCAGACAGGAGACCCGGACTCACAGAGCTTGGCCAGGGCGATGAGGGAGGTGTTGACAGCCAGCGACAGCTCGATGGGCAGTTCGGGCGGCACCACGGAGGTGAGGATCAGTGTGCACTCCAGAAACAACTTGTACCTGTTCCTGCTGGTGTCCTTCGTACCTGGGACAGACAGAAGCAGAGTGTCCACCCGTCAGGGTCAGTGTGTCAGTCACCAGCGTGTCCACCCGTCGGGGTCAGTGTGTCGGTCAGCGGAGTGTCCACCCGTCGGGGTCAGTGTGTCGGTCAGCGGAGTGTCCACCTGTCGGGGTCAGTGTGTCGGTCAGCGGAGTGTCCACCCGTCGAGGTCAGTGTGTCAGTCAGTGGAGTGTGTGCACCATCGGGGTCAGTGTGTCGGTCAGCAGTGTGTCCACCTGCAGGGTCAGTGTGTCGGTCACCAGCATGTCCACCCATCAGGGTCACTGTGTCGGTCAGCGGAGTGTCCACCCTTCGGGGTCAGTGTGTCGGTCAGCGGAGTGTCCACCCTTCGGGGTCAGTGTGTCAGTCAGCAGAGTGTGTCCACCCGTCGGGGTCAGTGTGTCGGTCACCAGCATGTCAGAGTCTCACCTTCCACCCAGACATAAGAGGCGGCAGCGATGGCGAAGATGAGCAGGAACAAGATGAAGATGAAGGTCTCCAGGTTATTGGCTGTCACTCTCTTCACCCCAAACAGGATCGTCCGCAGCAACTTCCCCTGATAGCAGAGAGAGGGGTGGGTGCAGTGCACGCCCCAAGCACGCCAATGAGCCCCAATACTGTAGGACACACAGAGAGATGGACAGACACACAGAGAGAGAGGACAGGTGCACACAGATAGACACAGCTGCAGTTCAGCGGCCTCACCTGAGAGGTGTAGAAGCCGGTCCTCAGCACGTACGCCACACAGCCATTGTCCACAGCTGTGGAGGGAGAGAAGGTGAAGGTGAGTTTGTGCCTGTGCTCCAGAGCGGCTCGGCCAGGACTCCCACAAGCACCATGTCGGGAGGGTGCACCTGCACTGGCACAGCTGGAGCAGGTCTGGAGAGGCCCTGATGTCACAGCAAGGGGCACAGCTGGACTAGACCCAGAGAGGCCCTGACGTCACAGCAAGGGGCACAGCTGGACAAGACCAGGAGAGGCCCTGACGTCACA